CATTTAATGTAAAGGGAAATCACAACATCTTGGGGTACTAAAGTTTTTGAAAGTTAAATGGATAATCATGTTATACATACTTAAAAACAGTCACTGACTCCAAAGTGGCATCAGAATCACACAAACAGAAATCAGTAGATAGAATTCAGAATACTGTACTGCATTAAATGTCCAATTATGTTGTTACACGTGGTGATGGGTGGGAGGATTATTTACTGTTCATTTTCTTTTTCTCTTGCTTTTCAAACTGCTGCTTTAAAAATCTATTGCTTCAGTGAGGAGAGAGTTAATTTAAATTTGATAACAAATGGTCCTGCTTTTGAAATGAATGTAGCCTGGCAACTTCCACTGAGAACCCGTCATTGGGCCTCAATGATGTATGCAGCGTTGCTGAGAAATAGTTTCACACATCTGACCCAAGGACCACAGTGTTGTTGCCATGATTTTTTTAAAAAGTGTATGTGTGTGTGTGGGGGGGCAATGTTTCATTTCTGGACAATCCACATAGGTTGCCATTGCCTCCTTAGGGCGTAGAAAAATACAAGCACATTGGCACAAATGAACATCGGTCTCTCTCTGGCTCCCATTTGCTTGTTTCTTTTTACTTTTAGTCTCTTTCTTCTTACATCGTGTATAGAAATATACTGGACACAGCTTCTAAGTTAGAATTGTTTTGCCTTTTTTTAAAAAAAAAACCTAAGCTCTTTCTGTGGCTGTGTGTCCTAGCATTTCAGCGCCTGCTCCCAGACTATCCTTATCAAAGCAATAGTGTGAAACCAGATAGACAGGCAAAGGGTTAACCCCAACACCATTTCATTTTCCCCCCAAAATGGCTGCTTTGTCTGTGTGCATACACCAACAGCAAATGTCCTTCTGTTATTGTACAGCCAATTTCATGTGTCAACTATTCATATGCTAATAACAGTACAGTTTCTCACTTTCCCCCCAACAGATAAATTGTAAAGATTCTTAAAGACAGTGAGACACAGGAATAAACAGCTTTTTACTTCAGAAGTGATAAATTACTTCTCATTCAAACAACATGCAACACATGCAGCTGACCAGTATTGTTTCTATTCATCCTTAGTTTGCCTTCTGGATTCCCCACCCCCACCCAGTTTAGAGCAGTTGGAAAATATTTAGCAGATACAGTGAAAGTTTATACAAATTACGTCAGTAAATTAAATTGTTGTTGTTTGGTTTCAAGAAGTAGAAATGATATTGTCCTAGCACTGCTATAAACAAATAGAGTTAGTAACAGGATTGGTATTTTTCTCCTATGTGAAATATTTTCATTTTGTGTTTCTAAGTAAACCAGGGAGAAGGTTTTTAAAATTCTTATTACTCAAACATTTCTATTTAAAAGCCAAAATAAAGGGAGGAAGAAAAACAAACACTCAAATACCATATGTTTTTATACAGATTTAAAAGGAATACTGTAAACATTAGATAAAGTTCTCTTTTTAATACCTAAATTAGTACTATTAAACATTAGAACATTAGATAAAATAAAGTTTTAATAATACCAAAAACCTGACCTGTAGCAAATTATGACAGTTCCAACAAAATCAAGATTTTATTGCTAGTGTGCTTGTGTGTACAGTGGTACCTCGGTTTATGAATTTAATGCATTCTCTGGGAAGTTTTGTAATGTGAAAAATTCGCAAACTGAAACACGGTTTCCCATAGGAATGCATGCACGGGGTGGTGCTATAAACCTCCCAAGCACAATGCAAACTTGCTTCGTATTGCGGAAAAAATTGTAAATTGAGTCATTATTTTCAATGGATTTTTGTTTGTAAATTGAAAATTACACTAACCGAGGCATTCGTAAACTGCGGTACCACTGTATATGTGTGGGTGGGTGGGGGGAGAGAAAGATAGACAGAAACAACAGACCTCTTTGAGGTAAAATTGGGCTTCACACAATTTAGGTAGAAATCTAGACTTCTTGCCTAATATGCTAACAAAAACAATTGTAAGGATGTCAAGCTGAAAAGCTTAAACACTTCTTCTATCTTATGTTCCAAAAACTGTGTTAAAATCTTGGCCCAGATGAAAACAGTATGCCATATTGACATGTCACAGCTTTCTCTTTTAGTCTTGTATTCTGCTGAATTTATCTGTAATTTCCCCCAAAAAATGTCATATCAGAACTAAGTTCCACTGATTTCAACAAAGTATACTCTGAAATAATAGGAGTCATTCATGCATAATTCTGGAACTGAATTGTGGCCAATGAATTTGGTTACATCCGAGTTACATCAGAGAGGATTCTCCAGGAACCTAATGCAAATGCTATGGCCTCAGTCCGACCTCACATTAGCAGAGTAAAAACAGTGTGCCAGTTGAGTTCCATTGCTTTCTCTGGTACATATGGTAGCATACATTTGCACTAGTGGAATGATGCTGTAGTAGTGCATGGACTTACGTGGGAATAAGTTGTATTTAATTCTGTGAGGCTTACTTCTTAGTAGACATGTATAAGATTTCACTGTTAATCGTATTAATTAGCTATCTAAAAACGTGATTGTATGCATTACTACTTGGCTGTAAGTCCCACAATGTTCGATGGAGCTTGATACACAGCAAGTTTAAAATCGCAGTAAAAAATAGGCTGACCTGCCAGGCCCAATTAGAAAATAATTCTTGGAAGACACTGGATATTGATTGATTGATTGATTGATTGATTGATTGATTGATTGATTGATTGATTGATTTAAACCCACATTTCTCCTTAAAAAGGACCCAAGGTTGCTTACAATAATTAAAAGGCAATATTTAAGATTAATAACAATGAATATATAATCTCAAATGAGCAATGAATACAATACCAAAAAACATAAGCAACACAAAAGTACATTAAATGCAGTAAGATGCAACAATCTATTTCAAAAAACCCATTTGGCAGCCATTCACTCAGGGCAAATTTGCCTGAAGAGAAAGGTCTTTGCCTGCCTGCAGAAGGACAGCAAAGATGGGGCCAGCTTGGCCTCCCATGGAAGAGATTTCCAGAGTCTGGGAGCAGCAGCACAGAAGGCTTTCTCCCATGTCCCCACCAAATGCACCTGTGAAGGTGGCAGGATCGAGAGGAAGGTGTTTCTTGATATCTTAACATCCAAGCAGGCTCATAATGGGAGACAGTCCTTGAAATAGTTTGGACCAGGCTATCTTTAAGGCTTTATAGGTTAGAACCAGCACTTTGAATTCTGCCTGGGAATGGATTTGCAGCCCGTGGAGCTGCTGAAAAAGAGTGTTGTGCGATCCCTGTGTCCAGCCCCAGTTAACAATCCAGCTGCTACATTTTGGACCCACTAAAGTTTCCTGACACTCTTCACAAGCAGCGCTGCATAGACTGTGTTACAGTAATCCAGCCAGGATGTAAATAAGGCATGTGTCAACTTTGGCTTGGTTATTCTAATAAAATTAAAATAGGCATATTAGTATATCTGGTACTAATTAAGTCAGACTATAAGAAATAAAAGAGGAAATTTCCTCTCAGAGGGACCAAAATGGTTTTTAGCCAAAAGGAAAAAAAAACACGAAGTGTCCAGAGTATACATGGGTATAATATGAATGTGTCAGAGATAGGCAATCTCATCTTAGGAAGCTGTTTTCAAGTCCCCTTCTGGCCCATATCATTGCTATTCTATGTGCTCTTTCTGTGGTTTGGAGGAATGAACAGCCTGTAACTTAAAAGATAAAAACACCCGCTTCCACCTCAAGATGTACCAAGGGAAGGCACAAAATCGGCAGCCTGCTTCAGAGCAAAGGAGGGCCCATCCAACTATATCCTTCTTACAGAACAATTAGAGAGATATCATCCCTGTTCCTTCCTTCCTTCGGGGTTTCTGTCAGGAAGGGGTGATTGGCCCCATAATTATGGCAATTTAATTTTTTAAATTTCTTTTAAAGCTTTAAGGTCTATGGAGCTTACTTAGAGATTTTTAAATTTGTAGATAATCGCTGTTAATGACTTTAAGAAGGTAACATCAAGAAGACAGTGTTCATTCAGTGTTAAATCATTCTCTTCTCATTTTGAAGTCTCATCACCACTGATCAATTGCAACCTGAAACGCCAGAGTCATTTATGTTTCTCACACGAATCACTTATTCACTACTTACTCTTATCCAGATAAGGAAGAGGCAGTTGCAACAAAATTATTTGCTAGATGGCCCCAGTTTAGAAATATCGGAAGCCAAAGCTGAGAATACAAGTGTCCTTGAATCCCACAAAGCCCAAACATTCTATCACCAACTGTTTCTTGTTCAAGAGCAAGTAACACATGCCACCACATAAATCAGGTCAGCTGTCTTCAGTTCATGAAAGGACTATTGCCTCAGAAGAGGTTAAAGCCTGACTTTGATCGATTAATTTAAAATGTTAATATGCTACTTCCATTTTAATAATCCCAAAGTAGTTTACAACATTTGTAAACCAGCACAATATTACAAACACAACAGTATTAGAAATAGCAGTGGGTCCAAATCTCAGCCGCCAGATTGCTAACTGAGGCTGGTCACAGGGACCCTTTATTAAAACAGCTCCACTAGCTGCTGATCCATTTCCAGGCAGAAAAAGTGTTGATTTTAACCTATGAAGCCTTAAATGGCTTGGATCCAAACTGTCTCAAGAACCGCATCACCCTTTATGAGGGAAAATTCTTGAATGTGGATGTACCACTGCAGGAATAATCATAAGTACTTATGAATACTTAAGAGAGCCAGTGGGGTGCAGTGGATAAAAGATAGTGGACTATGACTCAGGAGATATGGGTTCAAATCCCTGCTTGGCCATGGAAAATATCACATATTTGAAAACTCAATAAGGGTTGCCATGTCAGATGGCAGCACGGAACAACAAAACATGGATGAGAGGGAGTCGTGATGCAGCCTAACGCAGCAGTTTATGTGACTTATCATTTAAAAAGCATCTATGTACAATCTTATACATGGTTTCTCGAAAGTAAGTCCTACCATAACAAATGGTGACAACTTACATGTATATGGGTACAGCATTGCAGTTTCAGTATCTTTGAATCACTGTCTTCCTTCCTCTGTGTAAAATATCTCCAAAAGTAAGCTTGTTTCTCTCTCTCTCTCTCTCTCTGTTTACAGAGATAAATAAGTAAATAAATAGACCTGTACATAGGAGTAAGAGCACAGAAAAGTTGTTCTGAGTAAATCCACATTATTTGCACAGCTAAGCAACTGCAGTCCTTATCAATACTTTGCTGAGAGTAGACTACACAGAACACTGAAGGATGGTGCCTTCATGCATGAGCTAAGTGAAAAAACTTTAAATGAATGTTTGTGTATTTGGCAGCCTTAGTGATCTAATTACCCTTATAGTACACAGTAAAAAGCTGGCTGGATAGCTCAGTGGTTTAGGTATCTGGTTGGGAGTTTGATTCCTCACTGTGCTTCCCAGAAGAGCCAGCCTGTGTGGCCTTGGACAAGCTGCACAGTCCCAGGATGCCCCCAGAAGGGAATGGTACACCACTTCTGAGTATATTCTACCTGGAAAACATTGAAAAGGATCACCGTAATTCAATCATTAATATTATAGCTTCATTGATTGGACCATGGTTCAGTGGCATAATCCATGTTTTGTATGCAAAAGATCACAGGTTCAAACCAGTCAGGGCAAAGAGGGAATCCCACTGAAAATCCTAGAGACCTGTTGCTAGTTGGTATGAGCTATATGGGATTAGATGAATCTGTGGTCTGACGTGGTTGCTGAAATCTTGTTTCTTAGTGTAGTAAGTCACAATTAGAATAGACTCATAGAATCAGTGGAACATATGGAGGAGTTAATTCACCAACCCCCATTGATTCAATGGGCCTACTTTTGTTGTGCTTTACTGTGCTAAGCAGAAGGCTTTCAGCCCCGATAGGGCAGTATCCTCTGTTCTTACTGTCAGCGAACTGTTGCATAGAAGTAACTTCTACCAATGTTAACGGGAATAAACATCCAACATCCTGCTTGCCACATTCAGCTCAATGTTCTCGGCAGAAATCCCAGCAGAACAGTCCCTATTTACTCAGATATGAACCATGTCTAGAACTGGTAATATTACATTTCAGAAAAATCTGAGATCTTGAAAATGTTGCCATTGAAATAGCAACCACACTTCACAATCTGTTCTGCTGGTTAAATGATTTTATTTAAAGGGAATCTATTGTATATGTTAGTAGAGCACAATGAGGGTTGAAGTCCAAGCTTTTTTTTAAATACAGAGATTTATATTAAACAAATAGCTAATCAGATAAAAAGGAAAAGATTTGTCTTATATTTTCATCAAAAATGAACTTACATTGTTTGGTAAATCTGAAACAAAGAGAACACACAAAACACTGCTGGAAGAATGCTTCATATTTAATTCAAAATAAAACATCTACCACAGCTTTTCTGTTACTCAAATGTATGTAATTAATTGAAATCTTTCCCAGGTAATTATGAAAGATGAAATGAAGACCTCTTTTGTATTGTCTCATTACCTATCTAAATACAATCACATGTTATTCAGGATTCTACAATTTCAACATTCTATTTGTTGTTTTTGTCTAATTCCTATTTCTTAGCACAATTAGCTAAGCATTCAAGAATGCATGAGTCAACTATTGTGTGCGTTTACCTTTGTCAGCCAGCTTATTATCATAGCTATTATTCTCAAGTACAATTTTAGTTTACTTTCATGTGTATCTCTTTTGGAAATAATGATAATAATTTTAGTTTCAGTTGCTGCATATGCATTACTTCAAGCATTCCTGAAAACAGTTTTGTAGGGTAGTTCAGCATTATGTGGCAAAGGTGTGGACAAATATTGGTTTGCTAGTGAGTTCACATTAGAAATAGATTTCAATGAGAATCTCCTGATTAATGCCTTAGGGTGAGACCACAACAACCCTTTTGTTGTGAGCTGGTATGGTCTATACAGAGTTGCTTAAGTTCAGGAGGAAGAGCAATATACTATTTGGTGTGATCCTCACATCCAAGCAGCATACTGATCCTCCTGTTTAAATGGCATACTGACTTCAGGCAACCCTAAGTGAGCCACTTCAGGATATCAGCAAACTGAACACTTCCCCTGCTCCTCTGAAGTGAAATTATCATCTTTGTCCCTGTTAGATTATCGCTGATGTGCTGAATTACTCATATTAATTTTTTAAAAATATTTTATTTGCTATGTGCATAGTGCCAATAGAGAAACTGCCCATTTCACACAAATACAAAGAAAAATATTTTTAAATTTAATCTGATTCAGCACTTCAGCAATGATTTAGCAGAGGCAAAATGATAATTAAAATTTCACTTCCCCTGTCCCTCTGCAGAGGAGAAGGGGAAGTGTTCAGTTTCCCAATATTCTGAAGTGGCTCATTTATCAAACTACTTCACAATATTGGAAAATTGACACCTGAAGGAGCTTTGGTGGTCTTGACAGTGGCAAGACTTAATTTTGGTTCATTCCCAGTGATCACATGCACAGTGAATGGATCTGTCCACCAACCTGCACCAAAAAAGTAGAGGCCCTAACAGGGGCACAAAAAGGTGTGGGTCAAGGTGCAAAATGGACTGCTGTAGTGACTACATCATATGATCGCTTGAAAAAAGAGCCAACCAATCGTCCCCCTTCATGTACCAAACAGTGGGACAGATACTTGTCTGATCAAGCTCTTAGTTAGCCACTATACCACAGAGTCTGTTTCTCTCTTTTTTTGAGGGATTTGAATTCCTGACTTTGTAATGGCGGAATGACCTTAGATTTAAATTCAGTAGGTTAGAGAAAGGTAAACAAAGTATGTCCCTTCCCGCGTTTATTATTCATTATGCTGACTACAACTGACGGGAGCGGTAATCCAAAAATATATGAAGGGCTGCACTTTGCCCAGCCTGATGTAAGATCATCACAATTCATTAAAGGCGACTTTGTATATGTTCAACATTTATATCACTGATATATTAATAAGAATATAGTAGGACGTTCAGTATACCGATAGTAGCAAAGAAGGTAATAACCCTCCACTCCTCTCATTTATTGCACAGGTTTAAAAGATTAATTAAAATCACTTGTTTCCTCCCTGCCCTCTGCTAACTAACAGGTACACTCTGCAGTTTGCCAGCCAATAATTTAATTCAATTCATTTTTTTTTAAAAAAAATCCTTTGATTTATGAATGAGAGTTGTTGCATTTCTATAACCATGGTTCAAAATGCTAATAAATGGCCCATTGTTGCAAACAGGAAAAAAAAAGATGGCAGTCTTTACACAGCAAAGGACAGCCTAAACATTGATAACACCAATGGCATCAGTCAAGATGGTCTGCAGCAGCCATTCTCAATGGGGGCCATATGGTCCCCGGGGGGCTCTTGCACATTTGAAGGGGGCTACAGATTGGAAACTATTATTCACACACCATCTTATATGGTTCATTATGCAACTTATACAAGTCTGATTCAGCTTATATTGCCTTCATATTGTGTTTATGGCCGTGGCCAAAAAAAAAAAAAAAGGTTGAGAAAGGCTGCTCTACAGGATACCCTCTTGTGTTCACTACCATTCACTACCATTTTCCCAAGCAGGGGAAAATCCCAAAAGCTGACTCCTTTTTTCATCAGTTATCCACTGCTCACCCATACACAGAGCAATTGTCAAGGCTGTTTTTCAACAAGTGTGAATGATAGTGAAAAGCATGTTAGTGAATGGGAATGTCTGAAATAGGATGCTTTCTCATGAGAATTCAGTTCTTTTCAGACATGATGCTTTCACCCATACTCTTTCCTGTTGTATAAACAAAACATGCTCCATGATCAAGAGCTCTGTACCAGTTGTATACTGTATATTAGTGACAACCTAAGTGATCTTGCCTGTTCAATCCAGCCCAGATCACTTCTAGTGACAGAATGTGCATCATCCTCAGCTTTCTGTTCCTCAAAAAAGATTTAGCCTATTTTCATTTATTTTCCTCTTCGGCTTGGAACTACCTCTCAGAACACCTTCATGATGATGATGTCTCTCTCTCTTACTTCATATCCCTTCTGAAAACCTTCCTTTTCCACAAAGACTTTGGCACAGCATGTTTCATTAATGAAGAATGAGAAGTGGCACCATAAGATCAGAACCAGGCTTGTGTCTTTCTGCTTTTTGGCTGTCTTTTAATTTTTTTTTCCTATGAAAGAAGAAAGCAAAAGAGAGAGTTCAAATACAACACTTGGATTTTTTTTCCTATGGTACTAATATTTGAAAAAGCATTGTCTGAAACTCCTATTTTATTTATTCATGCTTTTAGAGCACGAGGTGTTTTTAACATTAAAAATCCAGCATATTTATTATTATATTTCCAATAAAAAATTCAGATTGGCTGCTGAATATCCTAAGTTCATGTTTTAACTGACAGGTGGAATTATCTGGAGAAACTGAGCACTTTGCCATCCTAACAAGTAGCAGCCTTTCAGCCTTTGGCATATGTGTGCTTTATGCAGTCTCTCTCTCTGTTTTCTGAAGAAAATAAGACACCTCTGATCTAAGCAAGGTAGCAGTTAAAATGGGCTATATATACCATGGCAGCAAATGTAGGTGATTTTTAGCAGAAGAATGTTCTTCTTTGGCATGTCTATTTATGATGACAGCAGTAGTTTTGAAAGAAGACTTGCTAATTAAAAATAAGCTATGTACATGTCTATATTTTCCAGGCTTTGCTTTGCTTTTGCTTGCTAGTTAGAATATTTCAAGGATCTAAGAACAACTATGCCTGATTGATAACACATTTAAGTGTACAGTACTGTGATTTTCTAAAGTTTCAGCAGGGCATTGGCTACTGGCCAGTGAACTGGCCATACACATGACTTTTAACACACCACATCTATCCATACAGGTATTTAGAAAGAGGACGGGGTTGCAGTGGCTTGCAAAAAGTGCCTACACACAACCAGCTCAATCTGGGTTCAGTCAAATGCTAGGCTGCTTTCATCACAATGCAAATTCAAATATTTGCAAACACAGCCCCATCACTGTATGTCAAGTCATGAAAAGAGACTGAGCCCATCATTTATATATATATATATGAATTAAAGCAGTATCTTGCTCAAATTGCCACACTTTTATGAGCAATTATGGAAACAACTGCT